TATTCCCTATGGGATTCGACTCCAATCTTGTTGGGTTACTATTCTTGACATTGACCGCCTTACACTATTTAATTAAAGTGTAATTTGATCGTATCAAATTTTGGCGCCGTTACCGGCGAATACGGTTTTGAAATGACTAATTAGTGTCTGCTTTACTTTACGTCTTCTTCTATTCCATCACACTTTGCTTGTTTGCTTGGTGTTGATAGGAAAATATGGATGGACATGAAGAAACAACTGGAAGAAAATCCTTTTGTGGACATAGATGAGTACATCGAGGATACAAATGCTATTGTAACCCCGATAGTTGGCGCTGCAACTTTCAAGGTGGAACATGGTTTAATCCTAATGTTCGAAGCGGAGGGGTTTTTCAGGAATTCCACTGATGATGATCCGACACAACATCTTAGAAACTTCTTGGGTGTGTGTGCGATGCACAAGAAGAACAACGTCTCAGATGATGCCCTAAGGTTGAGGGTGTTCAAGTACTCACTAGCTGGGGACGCAAGGAAATGGCTTCAAAATATGCCACCAAATTCCCTTCATTCTTGGCCTGAACTTGTCCGAGCATTCTTAGCTAAATTGTTCACGCAAAGCAAGAAATCTGAGCTCCGAGATAAAATTTTCTTTTCCAAGCAACTACCGGGAGAACATCTACATGAGGCATGGGACTGATTCAAGTTATATTTGGTGAGGTCGCCCAATCATGGTTTTCCGGATTGGTTCATGCTATGAACCAATCTATAGCCAAGAATGCAGCTGATGGATCTTTTATGGATAAGACATTCGCAAGGATCACACAAATCCTTGACAAAATGGCACAACATAATCAAGCTTAGCACTCAGAGGACACCACAGGTGGAATTGCATATGGTTCTCCCTCCTTGACCAACATGATTAAGGAGAATCAAGAAAGAGATCAAGTAATTGCAGGGCTTGCCACCAATGTCAATGTGTTGACGAGATGTTCACTGAAAGCCAAACGAAAAAGGTAAATATGGTGGAGGATGTTCAACCCACATCAAATGAAGACTTTGAGGAAGCAAACTATGTCAACAACTCTCAAGGAGGATATCAAAGGCAATAATACCGAGGTCAAGGACAACAAAATCAATGGAGGCCTAACCCGCAAGGGCAAGTCAACCAACAATGACGAAATGACCAAGGTAGATCGAATCAAGGACATTGGAGTAACAACAACAACAACTTCTCAAATCGGAGTTCAAACCCTTATGTTCCATTAAAAGGCCAATGTTCAAATCAAGGTTCCTCAAGTGATTCCAAGTTGGAAAGCATGCATGAACGGGTATTGCCAAATTAAGAGAGGTACGACACTTCTATGAGGAATATGACCAAGCTTGTTGGTTCTCATACCGCATCCATTCAAAAAATTGGAGATGCAAATGAGAGATCTCTCTAGGGAAAAAATCCAAAGCAAAAGGGGACACTTCCTAGTGACACAATTGCGAACCCAAAGGGTAGTGGGAGTGGTCCAACTTCTCATATCATGGAAATTACTACTCGGAGTGGGAAGGTACTACAAGGATAGAGTGAACAAGTGGTTGAAGTGTAAGAGTCCAAACAAGAGGTTGAGGCACAAGTTGAAGAGCCAAGTGTTGTTGAAGCTAAAAAGGTTCCGGAAGAGTTGAAAGTTCAAAAAGTAAATCGGGAATAGGTAAAGGAAAAGGTAAAAGAGACACCAAAAACTCTACCACCTATTCCTAGACCTCCTCCTCCTTTTCCTCAAATACTTGCTAGGAAGGTTGATGATAGAAAACTCGAAAAGTTCTATGACATTCTCAAGCAGTTATCGGTAAATATTCCATTCGTTGAAGCATTTCAAGAGATGCCGGGTTTTGCTAAATATTTGAAAGACTTGATCACCAAGAAGAGAACCACCAAAATGAAGTGGTGAATGTGACTCAACGGGTAAATTCCATCATTGCAACAACTACTGTTCAAAAGAAAGAAGACCCGGGAGCTTTCAATATTCCATGCACTATTGGGGCGTGTGATTTTGCAAGAGCCCTTTGTGATAACGGGGCTAGCATCAACTTAATGCCTCTTGCCATTTACAAGCAAGCGGGGTTAGGTATGCCACGGCCCACAAGTATGAGGTTGAAAATGGCCGATCGTTCCATAAAGAGGCCGATGGGAATTGTCGATGATGTGCTTGTAAAAGTGGGAAAGTTCCATCTACCCGCCGATTTCGTAATCCTTGATTGTGAAGTTGACAAAGAGATTCCTATCATCTTGGGGAGACCATTCCTTGCTACAGGAAGAGAACTAATGGATTCAGAATGGAATGAGATCAAATTCCGTGTGAATGGTGAAGAGGTAACATTCCAAGCAAGCAAGGGTATAAAACTACCACATGAATATGAAAGCATCTCGGTGATTGATGTTGTTGATGAAGTGGAATATGCAGTTGAAATGAAGATGGAAGAACAATGTCTCGCTCAGGCGTTGGTGGCTATTTTGGTAAATTTTGAGGGTGAAGATATGGAGGGGTATATAGAATCAGTACATGCATTGGAAGGGCTTGGGTCCTGTACTTATGCTCCAATGAAACTCTCTCTCGACTTAGAGAATAGAGTCATTCCTCTGGTAAAGCCTTCAATTATTGAGCCGCCGCAACTAGAGCTCAAACCACTTCCACTGCACTTGAGATATAAATTTCTTGGCTCAAATGACACTCTACCGGTAATCATTTCTTCTTTGTTGAATGATGGGAAGGTAGAGCAATTGTTGAATGTCTTGAAGGAGCATAGGCAAGCAATTGGGTGGACAATTGCGGACATCCGAGGGATTCCCGCCGGAATTTGCAAACACAAGATCCAATTGGAGAATGAGAGTAAACCAAGTGTGGAGAATCAACGAAGGTTTAAACCCTTCCATGCAGGAGGTGATAAAGAAAGAAATCATCAACTGGTTGGATGTCGGGGTAGTTTACCCCATTGCCGATAGTTCTTGGGTGAGTCCGGTGCAATTTGTGCCGAAAAAGGGAGGCATGACCGTGATTGCAAATGATAAAAATGAGCTTATCCCAACAAGAAAAGTGACCAGATGGAGGGTGTGTATGGATTACCGGAAGCTAAACAGTGCTACGTGCAAGGACCATTTCCCTATGGCTTTTATTGATCAAATGCTTGATCGGCTAGCGGGAAGGTCATTCTACTACTTCTTGGATGGATACTCCAGCTACAACCAAATCAATATTGCATTGGAAGATCAGGAAAAAACAACATTCACTTGTCATATGGGACATTTGCATTTAGCCGGATGCCATTTGCTCTATGCAACGGTCCGGCAACTTCCCAAAGGTGCATGATGTCAGTATTCTCCAACATGGTGGATGACTTCTTAGAGATATTCATGGACGATTTTTTCGGTCATAGGTGATTATTTTGAGCATTGCCTGGACAACCTTAGACAAGTGCTTAAGAGATGTGAAGAAACGAACCTTGTGCTAAATTGGGAGAAATGCCACTTCATGGTGGACGAGGGAATTGTTTTGGGCCACAAAATTTCCATATAAGGCATAGAGGTTGATCGGGCAAAGATCGAGATCATTTCAAAGCTTCCTCCAGCTACATCAGTTAAAGGTGTCCGATGATTTTTGGGGCATGCCGACTTCTATAGGCGTTTCATCAAGGACTTCTCCAAAATTGCAAATCTCATATGCAACTCCTTGAGAAAGATGAAAAGTTTGTATTTGACGAGAAGTGCCTCAAAGCCTTTGAGGAATTGAAAGAAAAGCTCACCACGGCACCTATTATTGTCACACCCGATTGATCTCTTCCATTCGAACTCATGTGTGACGCTAGTGGTGTAGCTATTGGGCCGGTGCTTGGCCAACATAATAACAAGATTATTCACCCTATCTATTATGCAAGAAAGACACTCAATGGTGCTCAAATGAATTATACTGTGACTGAGAAAGAACTTCTTGCCATTGTCTATGCTTTTGAGAAATTCTGGGCTTATTTGTTGAGATCCAAGGTGATAGTGTACACCGACCATGCTACCCTTCGCTATCTTATGGCAAAGAAGGATGCAAAACATAGGTTGATTCGGTGGGTCCAGTTTTTGCAAGAGTTTGACTTCGAAGTCAAAGATCGAAATCAAGTGGCAGATCACCTATCTAGGCTTGAAGAAGAAAGGAGACCAAAGGAAGATCTTGAAGTCAATGATGCTTTCCTAGATGAAAACATATTGGCACTGTCTAACACATTTGCTCCTTGGTATGCCGACATCGCTAACTTCTTGGTTAGTGACCTTGTTCCCGAAGGTTTGGAAGTTTATCAAAAGAAAAGGTTCTTGCGGGAGTGTAGGCATTACTATTGGGAATAACCCTTCTTGTTTCGTAATTGTGCTGACAACATCATCCGACGGTGTGTTCCGAAAGATGAAGTAATGCCAATTCTCAAGGCATGCCATGATTCGCCGGTTGGAGGTCATCATGGAGGAAATCAGACTACGACAAAAGAGCTTGAATGTGGCTACTATTGGCGAATAATCTACCAAGATGCAAACCAAATGGTCAAGGAATGTGACCAATGTCAAAGACAAGGGTCAATATCTAAGAGACATGAGATGCCAATGAACATTGTACTATAGGTTGAGATCTTTGATGTGTGGGGATTAGACTTTATGGGCCCCTTTGTGAGCTTGTATAGCATGACCTACATCTTGGTGGCTGTGGACTATGTCTCTAAATGGGTTGAGGCAATCACCTTACCAAATAATGAAGCAAGGAGTGCGAGCGCATTTCTGAAGAAGAACATATTCACACGGTTTGGTAGTCCAAGGGCCATCCTGAGTGATGGTGGGTCTTATTTCTGTAACAAGGCTTTCACTGGCTGCTTGAAAAATATGGTGTAAAGCACAAGGTGGCCACACCCTATCATCCTCAGTCGAGTGGTCAGGTTGAAGTTTCAAACAGAGAGATAAAAAATATCCTAGCAAAAACTGTCAATGCAAACAGGACCGACTAGTCAATGAAGCTAGATGATGCGTTGTGGGCATATCGCACAACGTTTAAGACCCCTATTGGAACTTCACCGTACAAGTTGGTTTTTGGCAAAGCTTTTCATTTGCCAGTGGAACTTGAACACAAAGCCATGTGGGCATTGAAGAAACTGAACCTTGACTGGGTCGAGGCTGCTAATCTGAGGATGACTCAACTCAATGAGATGGAAGAATTCCATCTCCATGCCTATGAGAGTGCAGCCATGTACAAAGAGAGGATGAAGTTTGTCCATGACAAGAAGATCTTGAAATGGGAGTTTAATTATGCTGACTTGGTCTTACTTTTAAACTCAAGACTCGGGTTATTTTCGGGCAAACTCAAGTCCAAATGGTCTGGACCGTTCAAAGTTGTGCGTGTGTCTCCCTATGGCGCTATTGAACTTGAGTCAGAAGATGGGACTCGAACCTTCAAGGTAAATGGACAACGAGTCAAGCATTACCTCGGAACCGCAGGAGAAGGCATGTGATAGAACAAATTTCTCTACGAGATGATCCAACAACAACTTCCACAAAAGAATAACTGAAAAGGAGTCAACTGCGTCGTGCCGCGACATTAAATCAAGTGCTTCTTGGGAGGCAACCCATGTGTGGTAACATTCTTTTGTAGTTTTTTATTTATTTATTTATTTACGTAGATTAGATTGAGCAAGTTGACGTGTGTGCTAGAGTGCAGGTAAAATATCATGAACAGGGTCCTAAGTGCTGAAGAAATTGAAGGAAAAAGAGGCCCAGATTGAGTGACAACTATGCGGTCGCATATGCGATCACATAATCACTATGCATACCGCATAATCATCGCAAAACCAGGAAGAAAGTTTGGCTAATTTCATTGTCAACTATGCGGTCGTTTTTCATTTCTGCGGCCCACATATGCACTTTGTGATCGCATGTCGTATCACATATTGTACAAAGGCTACCCAATCATAAGTCCATCGCACAACACTTATGCGATAGCATACTGTGTTATGCGATGCACTTATACACCGCAAAATCTCCCAGGTATAAACCTCACCACTCTCTGCACACACTCACATTTGAACAAAAAAACAAGAAAACCAAAGAAAAGAATAAAAAACATAGAACGCTCAATCTGCTAAGGACGAACCAGAGAAAGGATAAAAACACACTCACAATATTTCTCATTTCCATTGTAGAATCGTCGAGCTTCAGGTATGAATTCTGATTCCTCTCTTTGTCTCTTCACTCTCATTCTTCCTTCTTGTCTCCATCTTGTGATTCTAACCATTCTCGAATGCCGTTGATATCTGAAGTTTTGTGCTTGTAATTGGTCTAATTAGGTTAAGTTTGTAACTGCATGATAGTATAGACTAGCCAATTGATTTTTTTTTAGAGGAGTTGATTAAGGAATTAGGTGTGTGCTCTAATTGAAAACCCAAAGAGGGGGAATTCTGAGTACCCCTCTCTCTCTAGCTTATGAAATTAATTGCAATGAGGGTTTAGATTTTTAAATTATTAGGGGGAGGTTTAATTTTCACCAGGAAGATGACTTCCGCGGGCCGCATAATCGCTTTGCGGACCGCATAATCATCACATATGGCCCCTTATTTTTCCCTAGGTTAGAACAGGTTATGCGCTCACTTTGCGATCGCATACCTATTAGTCGGTCCGTATATGTGCCGCATACTGAGGCAGTCCTTCAGGCTTTCTAGCCTTCAATTATGCGGTCACTTTGCGATCGCATAACCACTTATGTGGTTGGTTTTGCGATCGCATAACTACTAAAGACATTCTGCTTCTGCACATATGCGATGGTTATGCGGTCCGCATACCTTGTATGCGACTGCATAACCCATCGCATAGTGAAAAAAATATTATATTTATTTATTTTGTTTTGTTCTTTTTCTTTTGTCTTTTGTGACTTTCCCTGAGCTATTTCACTCACTCCTACAATACTTCCTCCACAGAATGGCACCAAAGAAGTCCAATCCAACGCAATCAATGCCCGATCATAGACAAAAAAGTGCTGCAAATCCTAACCAACCAACAACACCAGCCAAACATCTGCGGGCTCAGGCACTCCGCATTACTACAGAGCACTCCTCCCAGTCTGAAGAGGAGGAGTCACAGAGTGGCCTCAGACCTCTTGTTGATCTACAGGTTGTGGCACGCAGGAAGCTGGTAGAAGACCTTAACCTCCGGTTCGGGATCAAGGGCTACATAGATCTATACAAAGCCGGGATCTCAAAGAGGAACATTCTCGAGGAAAAGCAATTGAGCTAAAATGCACTGTAAGATCATTGCCCTCACATACTGGAAAACATTAAGCAGAGGAAGTGGGAGTTCTTCACTTAGGTCCCGGATGAGTACAATGAGACAGTTGTGAGGGAGTTTTATGCTTCATATGGTGCCTCGAGGAGTGCTTCACAGAAGCGTAACAAGATCTTTTCAAAGGATGTCCTAGTGCGAGGGGTTGAAGTTGGTTGTGGTCCTGAAACTATCAATGAATGGTATTTCACAGATTAGCAGTCAGGAACAGCTAAATATGAGGCCAAGGTAGCCAACAAACACAATGAGCATGCCTGGGTTGCCTCAGTAATAGCAAAGGGGACACCGACCTGGATTGACCCAAAACACAAAATTTTCAAGGAGGATCTCACAAGGGAGGGTCGCTACTGGCTTAGCTTTGTTAAATCTCCTTAGTCATGTTCACATAATACCTAATCATGTAAACAATGCACCAGAATGAAGGGTGAATTTGGCCGTGGGTTACTTGATACCGTTGGCAGAAATCGAGAATCACGGGGTCTATTGGGGGCAAGGATGGCCCCACCGGCCCAAGGGTAAATGAGTAAGTATATACACTGAGAAAATTGGCATTGTAGGTCGTTATATCCTCCTCTCGAGAAGGGATCTCCACGAGCACTGCATCCCTCCCAGCGGTAATCAGTCCTCACCCTTCCGACGTCTCCTATTGAGCTAATATACTGAGACACAGGCTCGCGACACCCCTGCTTCGAAGAAGGTTTCTCGACCTCGAAATCAGAAGTTGTTGCAAAATATCCTGGAATGCATTCCTCAACATGAGAAGGCACTTCCGCTTTGCCATTATATGGAAGCGATGAGGAGGAGGTAGCGTTCTCCTCAGAAGCAGAGGCGGAAGCTTTCGCCATTTCTAAAAGATTTCAGAGGAAAAAGGGAAATTGCGTTTCGAAGAATGAACGGAAGTGAAGGTAGAAGGAACCTTTTTGGGGGAATGGCGGTGCAGAGAGTTATAAAAAACGAGAGATGTGGTATTTATAGAGTCCCCACACGCGTGTTGAAGAAGGCTAAAGGACAACCAACCGCTGTAATCAATGCAAAGTCTTTCGATGGCTGTGTGTACGCAATCTTTGGCACCCTACGACTGTCGTCGTTATAGAAATGCCAGTAGGCCAGGAATTCAAGGTCGTTTCTTATCATTTTCACTCTAAGAAACGTGGGGACTATCTGTATGTAGTAAAATCGGAGGGTCCAAATTTTCCATCATTGGGACGACTCGTAAGAACATTTCACAGGTTCGAGATTATGGTCGAGGTTCACCCTCGAGGGCTATCAATACTCGACCTCAGGGCGGTACGGACCAACGGCTGTAATAAAAAAGTGGGGAGTTCCCAAGGCGCATAACTAGAGCTGACAAAGCCTAGTGAGCTAAGTTCATACTCGAATCATGTCGTCAACTAGCTGTTCCATCTCCATATCTTTGTAATAAATGAATTTGTACTATGTTGGGGTTCCCCCTCATATATAATGGGGATCTTTGTCATTTTGTAAATACCTGTTTCTCTATACTAAGAAACGCAGAAACATTCTCTCTGCTCTCTAACATATTCTCTTGATTTCATTGCTTCATTTATTGCTTATATTCATTATGTTCTATTTATCGTTCTTCATTTAATGCCTATCATTGATCATAAAGAGCCATCATCATAGCTCTCGTAGCTGTTATCTCCCCCTCGACTGCCCCGAATCGGCCATCCAGCTCGACCCCGAGGTCTTGTAATCGACAGCTCGAGGCCTCCGGTCTGCAACCGTTTGATTCGATTATCTTGCCATCTCTAAGCCATAATCCTGACATCTAACTTTTTACTTAGCATCCATTGCTTAACAACTATCATAAAAATCGATCATGTATTTTTAGAACCTCGTAATCAAATCTAATTGTGGTTACCATTTTTACGGTAAGCAATGGGTAAGTAATTCTAAACCAGTTTCGTTCAATCATTCATTACTTTTCCTAAGATTTCAACCTAAAATCTAGAGTTTATATGGTGGAATTTGGGGGGTTTTTGGGTAGAATTAGGGATTGTTGTAAATTGGAGATTTAGACCTCAAATTGAGGCCGGATTCTAAAACAAATCACATCACTGGGCTCGGGGGTGAATGGGTAATCGGGTTTTGGTCCGAATTTCGGGTTTGGACCAAGTGCATGGGTGTTGACTTTTTCAAAAATGACCTAAATTGAATTCTTGACAATCGTGGGTAGTTCCTAAGGCTTAATTCGAATCGTTTGGTTGGTAAATTTCTATATTCTATTGGTTCTGTGATGACCCGGCCCGTCGTCACGTGAGTTACCGCCCCGTTTCCCCCATTTTCTATTTCTTTATGCTTCATTATCAGTGTTGGGTGTGAACGCGTTGATTTGGATTGGTTCTAGAAGGAAATGAGACACATAGTCTCTTTAAGGAAGGTTTATTTTGGAAAAGTCAACCAGACGTTGATTTCTGTGTTAGAGGGCTCGGATATGAATTCCGATGATTCGGTTAGCTTCGAGGGATGATATGTGATTTAGGAGTGTGATCGGAAGTAACTTTGGAGGCCCGGTGTAGAATTAGGCTTGAATTGGCGAAGTTAGTATTTTGGCGAATTCCGGTTGATAGGTAAGATTTTGATCCGAGGGTCGGGATGGAATTCCGAGAGTTGCAGTAGCTTCGTTAGGTGATTTGTGATGTGTGTGTAAAATTTCATGTGATTCAGAGGTGATTTGGTTGGGTTATTGATCGAATGCGTGTTTCGGAAGTTTTAGAAGAACTTAGGCTTGAATTCGATGTGAATTGATGATTTTAGTGTTGTTGGATGGGTTTTTATGATTGGAACAAGTTTGAATAACGTTGTAGGATGCATTCGTATTTTTGGTTGAGGTCCCGGGGGCCTCGGGGTGAGTTCGGATGGTTAAACGGAGAGTTTTTGAATTTTGCACGTTGCTAAGTCTACTGCAACTGGTGTTTTCGCCTCTGCGAAGCTTGGACCGCAGAAGCGGTCACGCTTGTGCGAAGATTGGACTACAGAAGCGGTGATGGGACCTGGGCGCTGATTCCGCAGAAGCGGTTAGGGAAGCCGCATCTGCGAAGCCGCAGATGCGGGATTTAAGTCGCAGAAGCGGGTTTTTGGATTATGGGAATTTTCGCAGAAGCGGAAGGAGACCGTAGGAGCGGAAGTCGCAGAAGCGACATTTTGACCGCAAAAGTGG